TTTAATCAGTTACTGCTCTTCAGTAGCTAATATATTCAGGATCCCTTGTAGACACTCTAAGCATAAAAATAGTTTCTATGGCCCAGGAAATGATATTTTGCTAAGGAGACAAGGAATATATCTATGGTGGAGGCAACATCATGAAAAAAAAACGGAGATGGAAAAGCTTAGAATATTTTTGAAAGTTATAGTGTTGGACAAGGTAGTAACTTTTTTCTAAAAGTTTTATTTTGCAAGCATATTTTCAAATTTAAATTTGTGTAATTTTACAGCTGTCAGAATGGCTATCATCAACAAATCAACAAGCACCAAGTGCTGGCTAGGATGTGGAGAAAAAGGAACCCTCGTGCACTGATGGTGGGAATGCAGACTGGTGCAGCCACTGTGGAGAACAGTATGGAGTTTCTTAAAAAAATTAAAAATGAAACTCCCATTTGACCCAGTAATCCCACTTCTAGGAGTATATCCCAAGAAACCAGAAATACCAATCAGAAAGGAAATATGCACCCCTATGTTCATAGCAGCACAATTTACAATAGCTAAGATTTGGAAACAGCCTAAGTGCCCATCCCATCAGCAGATGAGTGTTTTAAAAAACTGTGGTACATCTACACAATGAACTATACGTTGCTATAAAAAAGAAGGAACTTTTACCATTTGCAACAGCATGGATGGAACTGGAGAGCATTATGCTAAGTGAAATAAGCCAGTCAGAGAAAGATAAATATCACATGCTCTCACTCATATGTGTGATATAATGATCAACATAAACTGATGAACAAAAATAGATCCAGAGACAAATGGCAGGGGAGGGAGGGGTTAGAGAGCAACCAAAGGACTTGTATGCATGCGTATTAGCATAACCAATGGACACAGACACTGAGATGGTGTGGGCTTGCCCTCAAGGGTGTGAGGGGCCAGGGTGGGGGGGGGGTCAATCTGGGAAAAAGGAAACACATGTAAAACTTTAGACAATAAAAAAAAGTTGTGTAATTTTATCATACAAAACCTTGACTTATGCACATAATCCTTCACAACAATAAAAAATTAAGACATCACCATATTTTTATATTAATATAAATTATAATTTTTTTCATTCTAATGCATATTATATAAGAAGATAAGTACACATTATAGTTTATATTTAAAAATATATATGCATTCCCACCTGTACATGTAATCTCTTTATGTAAAGATAAGTAAAACCTTTCTTTTTGATCCCATTGATGGAACAGATCATCAACCCTTAACAATGGAAATGACTTGTTACAAATTGGTGTAACAGGAATATTAAAGAGGAATTCCTTTTCTTCCTTGTTGCTTAATTATTCTTCCCTCCTGTTTGGCCAATCCTATATAATAAAAGGGTAATATGCAAACAGACCAAATGGCAGAACAACTGAACAACCAATCAAAGTATAATATGCTAATGATATGCTAAGGCTGCTCAAATGCTTGCTGTGACGTGCACAGACCACCAGAGGGCAGATGCTCTGACCGGTAGGTTAGCTTGCTGCTGGGGTCTGGCCTATCAGGACTGAGCAAGATGGGCCGGACATACCCTGGAGCTCTCCTGCAGTCCTCCCTGGCCTGATAGTGCTCCAGTGGGGTCCCTCAGCCTGGCCTGCACCCTCTCGCAATCCGAGACCCCTTGGAGGATGTTGGAGAGCCAGTTTCAGCCTGATCCCACAGGCCACTCCCCTTGGGAGGGTGCCAGAAGCAGGACTCATGACTGGCAAGCGCTGCTGTGGTAGCGCAAGCCTCTCCCTATCAGGACTGATTGGGCGCGAGCCAGCAGCAGGCACAGTGGGGCCAGGATGAGCAGGAGTGGCATGTAGGAGCTGCACGCGGCATTGGAATGCAGGTTTTGGCCCGATCACTGCTAGCCACCCAAAGGGACCCCACCCATGCACAAATTCCTGCACCGGGCCTCTAGTGTGAAATATAAATATACATAACATACCGGTTATTTTTCAGAATACTTGTGTTTAATACAAAATTCTCTATATACTCTTTTGGTACAAAGAAAAATGAAAATGATATTTTTATAGTTGATGAAAGAAGTAGATAGATAATTGAATTTGAAGTCTGTGAAGTAAGATGGACTGCTTCTTCTGTGCACTTCCTTGCTGTTTACTGAAAAGTGAACTGCTTCTTTTGTGTGTTTCCTTTCACTATATCTTAATTTAACACAGAATTGACTAATTTGCTACAATTTCTACAAGTTTCAGCTTTTATTAAGCCAGATTTAATGTTTAAGGCAATTTTAAGTTTTCTGTCAGGTAATAGTAAAATGCTTCCATTGAAAATATATTACCAATACTCAGTAGAAGTCAATAACATCACCCTCCATAAAAAGTCTTTTGGAAGAACCATTTAGAAGCGATGACAAGCTAATGGGTCTCTATATAAATATAGATAACTTCTTTGTGAATTGATATTTAGATTATTTGGTTCAAAATGAACTCATTATTTTACATTTATATCACAGTTTCTACAAACTATTAAAGAAATTTGTGTATCTGAATTTGATAGTATTACATTTCAATGTAATGATTAATCTAGACCAGTGATGGCAAACCTATGACACCTCTGACACGCAAACTCATTTTTTGGTTGATTTTTCTTTGTTAAATGGCATTTAAATATATAAAATAAATATAAAAAATATAATTATTTGTTTTACTATGGTTGCAAATATCAAAAAAGTTTCTATATGTAACATGGCACCAGAGTCAATTTAGGGTTTTTCAAAATGCTGACACGTCTAGCTCAAAAGGTTCGCCATCACTGATCTAGACTGATAATAAATATTGCAAATTAAAATGAGTTTTCATGAATGTGGCTTAAATTTGCAAGTTAAATCTAATATTTATTGCCTAAATATTTTATAAAATCTTAGTTTCTAAAATAGATTTCTATATGACTTAGAAATGACAGGATAGGTAAAAATTAATGTTTGTTATCTACATTTGATTATATTAAAATGTTAATATTCTGGCTAATAGCTGCATAATATAATTAGGGAGCACTTCATGTATTAGTTTTTAAAAATTCTTCCTTCTTTCTCATGCTCTTAGCTATGGTCAGATATTCAAATTAGATAAGCAATGGAAAGGGTTAGCGAGGCTGGTCAGTATAGTTAGTACCAAGTTCACATTGTCATGGCCTTCTATAGAAAAAATTAATCATCTCCTTATCAAGGTGAGGCCACTGTGGGTAGAGAGATGAAAATTAACCTGCCAGACTATTCAGAAGTGGACATAGTTTCACCCTTGCTTTATCAGGTCTTGACTCTGTTGATAGTATATGTTTAATATTGTGATGAATTTCACTGGAAAACTTGGGGCTCCAGTCACAGAGTTATAAAGTCAACACAACTGGTAGATGTGTGTTTTTATCTGTGTATATATATATAGTGTGTATATATTTCTTCCTATATATGTATAAACTTATATATGAAAAATACATTTTATATATTCACAATTTCACTTTTATATATACACACTACAAAGGATAGTCAACAGATAAATAATGTGTATATGGATATGTATGTAGATATGAATATATAGTCACTCTTTGTCATGTTATCGACCTTGAGGTGTGTGACTGTTTTTGTCAGCAGGGTTTATTCAAAAGACAAAAGGTACATTGGCCAAAATGCTTATTATAAAAAAAGTAAACACTTTGAAAACGTGTGCCTGCCTAGAAAACTCACTTTGAATACAAATACTAGTAAAGCATGCATGACACGATGTGAAAGAATTTCCCACATTTGTAAGTCAGGATCCTCATAAACCGTTTTTATTCCTTATGGGTATAAGTTTGGAAGGCAGGATCCTGCAGTGATTTAGAGTAAGGACATTGCAATCAAATAGGTAAGGACTGTGGCTCTTACTATGGGAATTTCAGTATATTTTTTGTTCTGAATCTTAATTGTTATAACTCGATGTATATTGCAGTAGCGTGCATGTACATATTTCATAATTATATTAAGGATTAAAATGGGATACTGTAATATGGAAAAGTTAATAGAAAATGATTAACATGTTTAGATCACAGTATTTAAAAATAAGAAAACATTAGCATTTAAAGAAAACTTTTTAGTTACCCCAATTTACTTACATTGTGAATGGGTAATCTCCTTCAAAACACTTAATAATCCTACAGATAGGTATTATTATTATTATTATTATTATTAGACATACGATGAATATGGGGATTAGAATTTAAAATCTCTTGGTCACAGACTTATACTTAATGAATCACAGTCACAATTTGAAATCAGTTTACTCTTAAAACTGGTGTATTTAACGAATGTGGTGCTGACGAATACTCAATAAATGTTAGCCACATTCTTACCATCATCATTATATATGAATGAAAGAATGCCATCATTATCTAGTAAGACTTAATGTTAGTTTTTCAGGAAATATTTCTCAGTTATCTCTCCTGAGAGATTCGTCTGTCTTTAATTTTCTACAAATATATTGAATTTACTACTATGAAAAAAACTGAAATCCTTGTTTATAGAAATGAAAGATATTAAAGAAAAATGAAAATAAATTAAAATTAGAAGTTTGATTTCTATCTACTTTATGAATGGGCTCTCAGAAACTTTCCTGATTTTATCTCCTAGTATTCAGAAAAAATAAAATAAAACATTTTGAAGCTATGAATTTGTAAAGATCTCATGATATAAGACATTCAATGTTTTAACCTCTTGGTCCTTTTCAAAGCTTTTTGTACTTATTAAATTCTTACCAATGCTCTCCATGTAATAACACTTTGATGTACTATTCATCATTTCCATTTGAAGGAAGTAATTAAATTCCTGCTTAACTATCACACTGCTTTCAGTACAATATGCTTCAGTAATAAACTATATGTTTTAAGTGAAAATATACATTTTCAAATACATGAATTGCTTTGAGTTATTTCCAGTGGATATCACATAATATTTATGTTATTGTTTAATGGCAACACTCGCTTCTTTCTAGGAGCAATTTTTGATGAATCTGCCAAAAAGGATGATGAGGTGTTTCGCACAGCAGTTGGTGACCTCAACCAGAATGAGGAGATCTTACAGACTGAGAAAATCACATTTTCAGTGACATTTGTTGATGGCAACAACCCATTTCAAGCGGTTCAAGAAGGTAAGGATCATCGGCAATCCAGTTTTTATAATTCTTGTTTTTTGGTTCAATTTGAGTGACATTAACGTTAGATTATGTAAAAAGCCCTTGAACTAGGATATTGTTTTTTTCTGTTTTTGTTTTTAATCTTTGCTGCATTGATTTTCTTACAGAGTGTTGTTTTGTAGATATTAACCCCGTATTCCACTTTGGAAAGGGCAGAGTGTGTAGAGTTAGTGCTTTCATTGAAATGTAATATGAAAGGAACGTAAATATTTACCATAAAAGCTTTATTTTATTATTTCAGTGTAAATGAAGAATTCCAAAAAATAGCATTCTTATATTTGAATTTTTACTTTGACTGAAAAAATTGCCACATTGAAAGTTGTTAAACTTGTGATGACATTTCTGATATATTCAACATAAGTGTATTGGTGGGAGGGAAACTTTTAGACACTACCATACAATTCAAAGATTTTGTGCTGGGAATCTAATATACCTACATAGGCTATATATTTTTTATTCTCTACAATATAATAAATATTAAAGCACTTTCTTCCATTCTTTCTGTATACTTGAGTGAATTAAAATTTTCATGAGTACAAAGTCATACAAGTGCAAATTATTTTCATTATGCTGAAATGATAATTTGTAGGAATGAAGGTTTTGATTGAAAGATCTTAGACTAAAAGAATTCTATTATTGATGCTATTATGCTAAGAAAACATTTGACCTTTTGATTGGAAAAGCACTTGTTCATGGAACTGTTGCTAGTCTATTTTATATTTTATAGTGATAATATACCTAGACTAAAGATACTAACACAAAATTAATTTAGACAAATGAAGCATTCACTTCATTAAAAGATTAAAGAGTTTGGCAGAAGCAAAGATAGAGGAGATGGCTTATGTAGTAAAGTTTGGCAAGAAACCTTTTAAAGAAAAATACTGAAGGGAAAAGAAAAAGTATATAAACTTGTGTTTTTTTTAAGTGATCTTTTTATGAATGCTCTATCTGTATGTTGTGCAAGTATACTTTATTGGAATATGTTTGGATCAGTAGCACTGTTACTGTTTAAACTTATTTATGCTTACTTTTGTCAGTAAGAGAATGGATAGAATGATTAGTGTCCTAATGGATTTTCCTTCTTATTAATTTGATGGAGTGAAAAAGTATTATTTTAATGAAATGAATATAAGAGAATTAATGAAAAGCTATTTCCACAAATAATAATTTGTTTATAATATGATGGGATTTTAATTTTTAAAAAGTAAACATAAATTTTAAAAGATTAATATAAACAGCCATTTATTTACTTTTAAATGATCATTATCCTGGGAATTTGGGGTCTTAAATATTGACTGTGTTAATAAATTTTCTATGGAAACATTTAATAGCTATTTAAATTAATATTAGAATACATGAAGCAATCTCCAAAATAATAAAATTGAATTTGAGGAAAATACCCAATAATATATGAAATAATATATACACTAGGAAGAATGTTATTCACTGTAAAGAAACATTTATGATATTTCTTTCTCAGCTCTTAATTTTAATGACTGAAATGAGAGGAGGAAAAAATGAGAACTGATTTATTTTTGTGACAATCTTCTGAATAACTATTTATTAATTTTTGTAAATTAACAAAGAGATGCTAAAATATCCCATGGCTTTCAAAAATCCACTTTGACTGAAAGTGTGTAGAAATAAAGAAATGAAGATAATATCATAGGTAGAAGGTAATTACAAAGTGTAAATAAGTATGTCCTGCACACCTGTTTTATAGACTACAATTTGAAAGTCAAAGACAATGCTTAAAGATGCCACTATATGTTTATATTGCTTTGTATAACTATTGTGTTGCCACCTGAATTCTGCAAACATATACTTTTCTCAAAAGATCTATTATGAATTGAAAGAATTTGTGGAACTGAAAGCAAATAAAGACAGGAAATAAGGTTTAAGTTTCTGAGGTAGCTATTTGACTAGATATTTGTCAAGAAAGAAGAAAGAGCTTGACACTTTGCTTGATGGTTTCTGGTACTAAGAGGATGTTCTGGACCAGTTACTTTGATGGTCTGCTCTAGGTAATGAAGCTCTGGAGCTAATTTGTTTCCCCATTCAATATCAAGAAAGACCTCCGCTAATTTTTAGAAGTAAAGGTAATTTTCTCAGGGGCTCTACTTGTAAGTGATTTCTTTGAAAAAACAAAGAGGAAGTATTCAACTGAAAGAGAACATGTTATAATTAAGGAATATTTTCTTAAATATTTAGAGGAAGTAATTTAGGAGGAAATCTCAATTATACAATCAAAGACTGCAAATTTTCTATGAGCACACCTTTGCTGTAATACCTAAAAATCTATGCAGTGGTTCTCAACCTTCTTGCCCTTTAAATACAGTTCCTCATGTTGTGACCCAACCATAAAATAATTTTCGTTGCTACTTCATAACTGTAATGTTGCTACTATTATGAATCATAATGTAAATATCTGATATGCAGGATGGTCTTAGGTGACCCCTGTGAAAGGGTCGTTCGACCCCCAAAGGGGTCGCTACCCACAGGTTGAGAACCACTGGATAGAGGGTCTTACATCAGCTTGTTTATTTTTCACATTCTAAAGGAGGACAAAATGTTCAGTGATATAATTATTACTGATGGTTTACACATTAGCACTTTTGATGAACTTCTAAAAACTTAACGGTTTTGAGTTCTTTCTCCCTCAAGCTTTCTTTATTTTTGTTTATTTGATTTTGAAATCTGATCCTGAACAAATATAATTGCCAGCACATAGATATTTGGTGGTGATAACAAATGATAAAAAGACTGGTCATCGGATAGAAAAATGAAATTTTAAAATCTGAAATGCTCTATTTATTTTATTGTTAGAACTTCCTTTCATTGGACACATTTGTGAAATGGTTATTTTCAGACATTTGAATTTTTGTTTACCTTGTCTTTCTACTATCAACACTTAATAAGATAGAGGCATTTAAAGCTAAAGATAGAGGCATTTAAACCTACTTAACCCATATATTGCCATAAAGAGTAATGTTACTATTTAAATATTATTGTGTGACTTTGCAGTAAATTTGTGCATAGTAAATATTGATTTAAATAATTACCAAATAATTTTTTTGAGGGGAGTCTTTAGAAGATGTTGTCTTGCTTATAACACAGAATCAATATTGCATTTTCTGGATATCAATGACTGTAATTTATCATTTTTATCATTGTTCTGTAACATTAATCTCAGTAGTTTTAGATAGTGGTGAACAGTAGAAAATAATTTGTTTTCACAAAAGTAATCTTGAAATAAACCACCTATTTTCATAATTATTTTTATTTTATTTTGAATATATTTGATGTTTACCCATTGTATACTTTCTATTGAATTGTGGGAAGTTAACTAAGAGCAAATAATTTTTATACTTTATCCCAGGAGATTTTATATATATATATACACACACACACACACACACATACACATAAACATATATATGTATATGTATTTATATGCTATTTTATAGATGGGGCAAAGCTTTCCCTCTTAAGACAATGTATAAAAGAAAATAAATCATATGGAATATTTTTGAAAACCTAGAGAATTATAGAAGTGGAAAATTATATATTCCTAGTTGAATTTTTTTGATATGTAGATGAAGTTGAGACCAGAGTGGTTAAATTATTTTCCTACACACTGCAAGTGTAGATCAGATAAAGAACTAAACCAAGAACTTCATAGTACTATAGTAATGTTTTACTTGCTCTATCTGCTACATATGTGTATATCTATATCTATATCTATATCTATATCTATATCTATATCTATATCTATATCTATATGTCTGTCTGTCTCTATATATAGAGAGAGAGAGAGAGAGATAAAGAGAGAAACAACTCAGAGTGTTTTCTAAGACTTTATTAAATACTGTGGGGGATGAAAAACATAGTAGATTTATAGTCTTTGATATTATTTATGTTCATAAGTTTTAGATCTCATGGAGTTGTTAAAAATTCTAATCTAAATTGATCAATTATATAAATCACTCATGTCCTTTCATCCTTGGTTTTCCTTATAAATAAATAAGAAATCAGAACATAAATTATGTCTTTTAAGGTCAGTTTTATTTCTATGGATGAGTTGTTTCATGATTCTTTAAACACACTTCCAGATTTAAAACTTTATAGGATTATAGAAATGATCATTGTGTCATTTCTCTTTAGAATATGATTCACAATGGCTGAAATTGCCTCCTACTTTTTTGGGGGGCTGACTTCAAAATAAATTAAAAGTATTTTATTGTCTGTCCCTTGCTTTGCTACTTCATTCAACTATTCATTGCAACCCCCAAAATTCATTGCTATCACTGTAATCCCTCAAGGACCTTTTCTCATTGCATTGACTTGGACCAAAGCACCTGCTGCTGAAAATATTTCCTTACTCTTCTCTTGTAGACTGTTTCCTCTGTGACGCTTATGTACTGGGTGTAACATAGGTGCACAAATGTCTGGTGTGAGAGAGACTTCCTCTTCTGAAAGCAGTAACAGTTGTTTATATTGCTAGCTCCTCGCTGAGACTAACAACCATATGGGCTTTGAAAGGTGGGCGTTTACTAAAAACAAGGTCAGGGTAGGTAAGGGGAGTGCATTTGTAGAAAGGTTCACTGAGAGGGCTGAGTGCAGAAAAGGAGTCATGTAGAGTTGTTGCATTCATCAGATGTATCAGGAAGGATGTTACGCACCGTGTGTTGCTATTGGATAGCAAGACTCATTTGAAACATTTTGAAATATTTGCTCTTATAAAAACAACTAAAAATGAACTACATAGTAAGAGGAGTGTAAAGGCAAAATTGTTCTGTAGAGTCACAAATAATTCTATTTGAAAGAAGCAAGAGTAACTGTCATAATTATTATTATTATTTCTGTTAGGTCGCAAAACATTATAAACACTATAGTTATAAAGGCTGTTTTAAATATAGAAAGGAGGTATGGTTAATATTGCTCGTCTTCCAAGT